AGCTCCTCGAGGGCCGCGGCTGGGCCGTAAAGGACCGTCTACGTTGGAAGTAGAAAGCAAGAAAGCTACAACCTTTACTTGTCAGTAGAGGTGTGACATTTTGATGTTATCTTTATACGCAGAACGTCGCAAAATGCCCGAGGAACGTTTTTAATGACATTCCTTTACATTTTGGAGTCCCCGACTTCGTTTTAACACGGTTTTAAAAAACGCAAGATGATCCTCAACACGCAAAATGGCGTCCAAATAACGTCAAAAATCGCAATTTTCCTTAGTGAACATTTCTAACGTCAACGTTGTATCCTAAACCAAAGAGATTTAAGCCTAAGACTAGTTTTTTTGTTTACTTTTTTACTCTTACTTCTTACGCCAGGCTTACTTCATCTATTGTAGACGATCCTTAACGCAGACGCGACGGCGCGTATCGTTTTCATTCGTCAAGTCGCGAGCGGCTCTTTCCCGCGAAAATCGCTCTCGTTTGCCCGGACCGGCCGCGATTTTCTCGAAATTGTATCTCGCCGCGTGTTTACGTTTCCCGGACACGGGGAAATTCACCCGGGAACGTTTCGCTCGCCCGCTACTCCAGCCTGATTATCCTCCCGATTGTGGGAGATACGCGCGATTACACTTCTCTGTATTTTCCGAGCCTGACAACAGCACAACGACATACCTCTCCTCTTTAACTCGTAAAAGCTCTTTGTATGTATCGTATTCTAACGTACTCGGGGGGGAGAGAAAGTGAGATTTTCGAAACCGCGAGCGAGGTGTATCCCTTCGACCTCTCGATCGTATCGTAAGCCGTGAAGGCCTCTGTGCTCACGATGCTAGAATTCGGACCAAGTTCCAGTTCCGAGAAATGTGAGAAATGTGCTATTCCATAAAAGCTGATTGGCCACACGTTTCTCGAAGCTATAATAGATCGTGGTCACAGACCTTAAACCACGTCGTTACGGCGCAATGTAAATCGGATCCAAGCGACTTCAGACATTTACTTGTACCTGAATGAATTTCGAGCTTGACAAAAGGCTTAGCTAAATTAGAAATCAACGAAATCAACGAGAGGTCGCAATTATAAATTGAAGAGGAAACAAAGTTTTCGTAAGAATCGAAAAAGCCTTGCGAAATCTATGCGAAGCGTATTTCTACAATTTGCGTGTCAGACCGAGCGTTGCGCAATTGAATTTGGTGACTTGTGAACTTTGTATCACTACTCGAGATTATTATTGTTTCCCACGTCGAGAGGAGAGTTCTCGCTAAAAAAAAAGCTATCTTACCAACGCAGGTGGATTTCTAAAGGCCTACTAGAACTTGATCCAAGTTCTGGTTTCAACTTGTGCAGCTATTCCATAAAAGCTGCAAGCTGATTGGCCTCACGTTTCTCGGAACTAGAACTCGGGCCAAGTTCTAGCCTCGTGGACACAGGCCTTTAGTGTCGCAACAAAAATGTATCGCTATTTCTTGGATCTGTCAGAAAATTGTAGTCTGCGAAATTTATAGCAGCAAATTTATTCCAGCAATACCTTCTAGAAAGCTTGGGCTTCATTACTAAGGCCCGGTTTCACCAACGTCGCTTAACTTTAGGCTTAGCTCAATTCCTTCTTTGTCTCTTTCCAATTGTTACTTTAGAAAGAGACAAATATGAATTAAACTAAGATTAAAGTTAAGCGACATTCGGTGAAATCGGGCCTAAATATTGATTTCATTCACATTGAATGAAAATGAATTTCGGCACCATAGCCAGAACAATCTTTGAAAGGAATATAACTGTTTATGTGCCACAATCAAACGCTACAACGCATGGGCGCAACAGAAAGACTTTCTTCATTCGCCAACAGTTCGGGTAGAAATTTTATTTTTGTTCTTTAAACACGATAATCTCTTTTGGTTGCCAGTAATAAATAACAATGGGTCAGTTTAGTCGACCTTAACTGACATTTGCTTAATGAATAAAAAAATAAAAAATATAACGTGCGACGTTTCGATCACGGGTTTTTGGTCCTTGTCAAGCACAAATTCTAAAAGGGAATAGACCAATAATCGGAGTTGCACGCTTATCATAGATACAAATGAAATTACAAATATAAATTATAAGTAATGCGTAAAATGAGACGCAATCAAATATCACGTGTACAATAAAAGATATGGTTTGTCAAGTGGATACGCAAATAACACATTGAAATTAAATCTTCGACCAGTCACTTGCCTTAGAAATTAATCGAGTCATTGCAATATGTAATTGAACGGTACGAAATTATAACAACGGTAAAAAATTCTAACAATCGCACGTTATACCTTTTATTTTTAACTTATTAAACAAATGCCAGTTAAGGTCGACTAAATCCGATCCATTGTTCTGTTATTTAAATCGATTAAATTCAAAGCATACGCGCTTTCGCAGTATTGGCCATTCATTTACGTATCTCGGTTATTCTTCCCGTATCTAGAAAATTGTTGCTGCAAATTGCAAGATCATTTTCATTCCCAGCGTAAACCAAAGGCAAACGGTGCAATTTCATGGACGCTAGAAACCGGCGGTAAATTTTCAGGTCGCGTGACCTTAGTGAGATTCGGCGTCAAGAAAACGTAGCGCGGGGGGGAGGGAGGGGGGGGGGAAGAAAGTTCAGAACGTTTCAGCTTTTTCGGCGTGCCGCATTTAATCACGCGGCTACATTTGACGCTAAATTGTAGCGTCAATGAAATGGCTGCTAAACGCGTCACGGCCGCGCGCGCCGTTCCATTTATTTCGAAAGGATACACCTACGGGCTTAAGGATGAGACCGGACTGCCGTACGACCGCAACCGCGAGAGACTCGCGTATATCAATTTGCAAAAGAAAAAAGAAACGGCCGACAATCGCGGCCGCGTGGCGCGAGCACCGCGGGGGCGGTTCGACGACGGGGTAGAGGAACAGAGAGAATTTTGGCCTAATCTATACGTCTCTATCGATGTAATCTACAAGTTTAATCCGGCGTCGCTGCGCGACATCGCCGCGCCTGGGCGGCGGAAGAAAGCGCGCGCGCGCGAGAGAGGCGTTTCTATTAAAATATCCCCGTCGCGTATCCGCTTCTATGCAGATACGCGGCATTATATGCGTTAACAGCGCTCACCTGACATCTGACATCGCGCACACGCTCGTCTCTGCACACGCACACGGGACGGAGTGCACGCGCGCGGCTCTCCAACGCGCTCCGGCGCGCGTTGCGCCAGGAGAGACGCCGAGGCACTCGCGGATGCACGGGCTATCAGACGAGCGTGAGCGCGACGACGTTTCCTCGTCATCCCATCGTGAAAAAGACGAAAGAAAAAGGAAAAAAAATATGAAAGCACACCCTCCCAACGTGTTATCGCGAGATAAACTGTACGCGCGTACCCCGACCCCTCTTCCCGCTCCCCCCCCCCCTCATCGCTAATTACTAATCGTTGTTAATGACTAATTGTCGGCGTTACCGCAAGATTTTATCGATATACAATTACTATCTCTGAACTTAGCGAGTTGATACACTCTGATTGTAAGACACGACGCGGAATCGTGCAACGGTTCACTTTATATTTCTACATTAATATATACCTATAATAATAAAAATAATAATGATAGTAATAACACTCTAATAATAATATATACATAATATACATATACTTAGTGAGAGACGGAAGTTTTCCATCCCGTTAATAAAAATAAAATATATATATATATAGCAAAGGAATATAAACAGATAAATAAATGAATAAATAAATATATATATATATATTGATAAACCCGGAAAATATGGAAAAAATAAAAAGTACGACATATAAATAAATATATATATCTATATACATGTGTATAATAGTCTATAATTTTTCATATTGTTGTACGGATTTTTAAGTTTATATTAAAATGTTTTGTGCATTCATAAAAAAAAGGAAGTACCAAATACTTGTGTGATGAATTCTTTACCTGTCTACCCATAATCCCTGCTACACCTGCGCAAGTTTCTCATCGCCAAATGGACGGTGATCATCACTTAATTGAAACGCGGCAACGTATGATTCAATATTTATTTAGTTTTTCCTGAAATGTTCATAGAGTTCTATCTGTTTACATTAAGTTACGTGTTGCTTAAAATAGAATCAATCTGTACCTAATATCATAATTAAAGAGAGTATAACTGACACTTGTATCCATGTAACGATTAGTTTCGTAAACTCAGTAACACAAAAGAATCAACAATTCTTTTTGTATCTTTTATTGCTATAATTCGTACATTAGAAATACAAGTAGTTAGTAATAAAACTAATGTAACGCATTATTAATGCTGCCAGAGAGAGAAAGATAAAAGGAAGGAATGAGAGAGGCAGACGCGTGAACTGCCGAGTTAAGCGAAAACGAAACACAATCGAACCGATAAAAGGAAATTCTTAATAAATACCGTTACATGTAAGCAAGATATTGGTAATTTTTATTTATATAGCGTACACAATAATAGGTGTAATCGTACCCAAATGTATCTGTAGTATAGGCAAAGAAACTTAATCGATTGCTGTAGAATCCCCAAGGCGGTTATCGACAGTGTCGCTGCAATCAGGCTAAGATATTGGAAAACTGAACGTCTCCTCTTGGTTATTTTTTAAATTGTTCTATTTCCTTTTAAATATGAAAACACGTAAACATCGCGATGCAACAACCTTGCTGCATGTGACCAAGTTCAATCCTATGGGAAAATCGGGTCACGTGGCCATACCTGACTGCAGCGATCAACGTATAACTGCGCCGAGAGGTTGCCACACGTTTCATGAACTCCATACCATACATATAGTTCATTCATTTCGATATTTACACACCTCATTGGTCGCAGTTATACAGTTGCTATATGAAACAGATAACAAATTATTTACGATAAGCCGTCGCCTGTAAAAGTGGTGAACTTCGGCAAAGTGAGAACTTGATCAACGTAACAATATGCATAAAATAAAATTTTAATTGCACACCAAATATTTTAATTATTTCTCACGTTAGGAAAAATTATTTTCTGAAATAAACCAGGATATTTCGAGTGTGTATGTATATATTCATATTCATATATTTTGTAGCTTTCTTCTGGTTTCATTTGATCTCATAAAATTATGACTGACCAGTATACTTGCAAGAGTATACCTGATCTTACATATCGGTCATAGATATGCAAGACCAATGATATTTTTGCAAGTATATATTTTTCTAGCGTGAGAAATGATAAAAATGATAAAAATTTAGTGCGCAACTAAAATTTTTGGTTGTCCTGCACATATTGCTACGTAGATCAAAATTTTCCATTTTGCAGAAATTTACCACTCCTACAGACGACGGTTTATTGCGAAATAATTTGTCGACCGTGCCAGAATATTATAATAATTATAATTAAAAAATCTTTTTTCTACCTGGCACAGTCAACGTCCAGATTTGCGTGATCATTTTATTCGGCCTCGTCGTGGAACTTAATGTAGTGTATCTTCAAAGCCCTATTGTTAGGATATTTGACGTCACATTCCGGACAAGTAGCTCCGACCGCGTCCTTCACCGAGTAATTGTTCAGATTGACTTCCCTATGGAATGTCTTGCTATCGGCCTGATACACCGCGTTGTGCACATTGGTGATATGGCGTATGATGGACTCCTTATTGAAGACGTGGCACTGCTTGCACAGCTTGCAGCTGTACATCACGTTATTGTAGACTGTTTCCCCGTAGTCTTTAGGCCGTTCGGGTGTCGAGAGCGCCAATCTATCGTTGTTCGGCGCGCTAGCGGCGGCTTCGGCCGTCTTCTTGTGCTTGATCGTGAAATGCTGTCGCAGATTCGACAGACCGGGGAATTCCTTGAAGCAGATGTTGCATGAAAACTTGCCATCCTGAGTCGACACCGGAATGCATTCGGGCGTAAAATCTTTTTTCATACGGCTCTTATGGGCCGTTTGCTTGTGCTTGTACAGCACGCTCATATTTGGGAACATTTTCCTGCAAAGGTGGCACATGACTGACTTGTTCCTTTTCTCACCGGCGAAGTCCATGGCAAAGGGCGACAGCTTAACCTGGGAATTGTCACTTTCAATCTCGAGTTTCAAACGCTTTGTCTTCGGCTCGTCCTCGATCGATAACGCTCGATTGCTGTTGTATAGCTGCTGCTGCTGCTGTTGCTGTTGCTGCTGCTGCTGCGTGCGTAGTAGGTGCATGTCACTGTGAAAGGAGAGTTTGTGTCGTTGCAGAGACTGGTTGCTCGAAAAGACCTTGCGGCAAAAGGTGCACAGGTACTGCGAAGCCATCGGTTTTCTGGCTAAAGATTGGAACTTGATCGAGGCCACAACCGTAGCCTTGTGAAGTCTCTTGTGCTTCCACAGAACCTTCTTCGAGCTGTAAGACTTGCCGCATATGTCGCAGGCGAACACCTTTCGTATATTGCTAAGAATAGGATTGTCCTTGTGCCATTGCATATGGGATGCCAGAGTATCCTGATCGGGGAAAATGTTGGTGCAGAGCTCGCACTGAAGCTCGTCGTTCGAGAAACTTTTCTCCGGTTTGTTACGGGCGCAGTGAACGTCCCACAGATGGGTCCTCAGTACTATGACGTCGTCAAATTTGTCATTGCAAACTTGACACTGGAAACTCCCTGATGTCTTCGATGGCGATTGAAATGGAGGATTAGGGAAGGACTTGCGCGCTCTCGCCGGTCGTTCCGAATTCTCACCGAACTCGACGCTGCTCGACTCTTTCTGCGGACCGTTGGCCGCCTTCTGCTTGCTCAGTATGAATCGAGTGCTCAACCGCGAGTTAGCCCGATTATGCCAGCCTTTGTGTATTTTCAAAGATGCCTCTTCGACGAAAACCTTGCCGCAGATATCGCAGCCATAGCCATTCTGCGATTTCTCGAGGTGGGCAGTGCGGAAGTGATAAGTGAAGTTTGCTTGGAAGACGAAACTCTTAGGGCACTGCGGACATTGCAACACAGTCTTCATAGAATTGTGAGTCTTCATATGCTGATCATACAGATCCTTACGCATGAACATGCGCGAGCAGTCGACGCAATCGTATGTCTTGGAGTTCCGATGAGCGATTTTCGTGTGTCGCCGGAGATTGGCATAACTGTTTAGCACCTTACCGCACTCGCCACACTCGTGAATCTGCGGACCAGGATCGGAGACGGCGCTAGCATTCATCGGCGGGTCTTTCCCATCGATTCTCACGTCCTCGTCCAAGCTGCCGTACTCCACGCAGGAAATATTGGCGTTCCTTTCGTTCGGGTCCTCGATACCATGATCTTTGATGTGAATCTCCAAGGCACCAGCGCTGCTAAACATACTGCGGCAAATGGCGCACGAGTATATCTTCATTTTGAGATGGAGAGTCCGATGCTCGTCCAGCTCGATTTTGGTGGAGAACACCTGGGCACAAAGAGGGCAGCTATACTTTTGGCCTGACATTCGCAAACTCACTCTCGACTTGACACTCGTCTCGTGAGCATTGCGTTCCTTCAATGGCGCCTGAACTTCACTCTGCGAGGCACCGTCAAGCTGCGCTTGTTGATTGACCTGAGTTGTCCCGCGATGGCTCTCGTAGTGGGTCAGGAAATCGCTGGGTGATCGATACTTGGTGAAGCATATGGAACAGGTAAAGTCCTTCTTCTTGTGTTGGGTCGTGACGTGATAGTGGAACTTCTTGAACACGGTGAACGTCATGTAACAATGCACGCATCTATATAATGTTCTGCTATCCGGGTCCAATTGCAAGCACCACTCCTTGTGCTTGAGCATGTTGGGCCGATAACGATAGATCATGCCACACAGATCGCAGGCGTGATTGTGCGCCGGGTCGCCGTTCATGTAAGGCCCGCTAGCAATCCTATCGGCAACGATGTTTCTCGATGGCAACGGCGCCATCGGTTTCAGCTTGGGCGGAGCTCGCGCCGGCGATATCATCTCCTCGTACTGCTTGTCCGAGTGCTTCGCCAAATGGCTGAGCAACTCCTTCCTACCCTGCATTGAGCGCAGGCACATGTTGCACGTAAAGTATCGTTCGCTGCCGTGTTTCGGCACAACTAAGGCGATCTTCATAGCGCACTCGAAGGAAGCGCCGCAGTGCAACTGATACATCGATCGATCTGAAAATTCTGTAAGGCAGGCGATACACGTGTACGGTCTCAGATCCGGCATATGCTGACGTATGTGAGAGAGCGTGCTGCGTCGATCGTTAAACGTTTGTTGACAAGAGTAGCAAGAGAAAGTTTTCAGCTGGCTAATAATGTCCTGTTGCACCTGCGTCAGCGGCGAGTCCTTTTCCATGCTGACCAGCTCATCCTCCAGATCCTCGATCATCTCCTCGTCGTCGTTCTGCGATTCCAAGTTCTCGATGCCGTTTTCTTTACTGTGGAATCTCTTCATGTGTTTCAAGTATGTATACTTGGAGTGTAGAAATATCTGGCAGTGCGGGCACTTCTGTTTAAAAACGCGCGCGCCTCTAAAATGAGTGTGAGGCCCGCGTCTCAATCTCTTCTTAGGCGATGCGCCGGCCATGTTAGACTTCTGCGTGGAATCGGCCTCCATGATCGCGTCATCATCCACTTCGTCGGCCATAGGATGCAATAGCAGCTCACTGCTATTCGTAGACTCTAATTCTATGGTACAATCGGTATCCTCATCATCCTGCGGCTCGCTCTTAACGGACACAACTACAGTATCCTGCTGATCCGTTTCTTTTTCTTCCTTGCCAGTCTCCTCTTCCACCGCAGACGGGATCGGTTCGGGTTCATTGTTAGTGTCATTCGCCTCGCTGTTATCTGTCACATCCTGCGCTTCCTCGCCATTGGATTCAGCGTTTTCCACTGTTTTAATTGGCGAGCGCTGGAGAACAAGCAATACTTACGTAGAGAAATTCTTTTCATCATAACAGTTTTAACATATAAAAAGAAACACGCTCACCGGTTGTTCCAACTTATTGGTGATCTCTGAAATAATTTCCGAATTATCTTTATAATCGATGTCCATTGGTTCGTCCTTAACTGCGGCCACCTGCAAATATTAAGAACACATGAGGATAAGAGAGCGCAATAGCAAAAGTAACTCAATCTACTGTACTCAAGTACGTTTAACAATACACACCGTAGGATTCGATTGAGTTTGATTTGCCAACCATTCTTGCAGTTTGTCCTGGGAGCGCAGACACGACTCCTTGTAGGTGTACCATTGATCGACGCTTTTCACGCAATTCGCGCATATCAGCGTGGACAACTTGTCGGTCGCTGAGATCTAAAGAGAAAAGGTGCATTAAACTTCCCAATTTCGCGCAACACATAATCTTAATATTTGACCCACGAGGGTTTTTTAACAAAGTTCTTGAAGTGAAATGCAAATGATACTCGCACAACAGACATCACGCGTTAGACGAAAAGTCCCAATTTCTCTAGAAACACGTGTCGCGTGCGACAAATGTTGCAGTACCCTAAATTGTGCCTCATTGTTTTTTACAGATCGTTGAATAAACACGTGTCGGTGCGATTTTGGAAAAATGAGCCAACTCGAAGCGCGTGCTGCGACGAAGGTATTTTGTGAAGAAGGGCTTACTCCGCGTGTAGTCGGTATTAACATTTGTCGCTGACAAGTCCTTCGCGAGATTCTCTATCGCAGCACGCGCTTGCAACTTTTTAAACGGCCCTCGCACATGCCTAGTTACCGACAATATTGTTTCGATAGGCGATTGGTACATACGCCAAAGTGTACCGGAGCGTACGCTCGGCGTCACGGGTGCTTTTACACCTGAAAACAGCCCGTTCAATATATTCAGACAGAAGTCCAGTTTATTAAAATAAATTTTCCCACTGGACACCTCCAGCGTCTTTCGTCAGGCACTCACGACGCCGTGTACACTCCGGTATACCTTGGTACACGCGCAAAAGCCGCCTAATATTATAACGCACGTTAGGATTGATTAGGATGACGCTATTACGTTTGCACGACAAATTTCCTAAGCGTATCGATTGGCTGCAAAATAGAACGCCTCTGGAGACTCGACAACTTTTCTATCCCGCGACCAATCAGCACGCTTGGCAAATTTGTCGTCTCTCCAAGCATCTGGAGGAGACGCGTACTCCGACAGAGAGAATGCCTCGCCCGAAAACGCGACGGACGCTACGAAGCGCGCCTCAGCGCGGAGGCAAGACAAGAAAATGATACGGGGCACGAGGAACGCGGCCGCGGGAGAAACGGATCGCTCGGGTCGACGCGGAGTCCGGCACTCCTCGCGCGATCCGAACATAACCTCGAAAACGCCGTCGGGCGCGACGCAGTCCCCGGACTCCGGCGAGGCTCGGTCGCGGGGACTGCACGCGGACCCCGCGGCCCCCCCCCGGGTCGAGCCTCGCGCGGGCCTCGCGCGGATCGCGCGCACGCACCTGAATCGACAGGCAGGCCTGAATCTTGGCGGCCAGCGGCACGCCGGACGAGTCGTCATCCTTCTCGCCGTTCTCCTGCGCCGCGAACACCGAGGACCTGGGCTCGTCCGTCGAAAGGCACAGTCTGCAGACGTTGTCGACGCTCTCGATCTCCACCACGTCCTCGTCCATCCTGGGCGGGCTGCGCTAACGGGCGCGGGGGACCGACACGACAGGACGCCGTACCCGTACCACCGACGCCACGTATTATTTCTTTCCCCCCCGAGGACTCACGCGCACTCGCCCCCCTCCCTCTCTCGCTCGCTCTCCTGCTCGCAGGTTAGGGACGCAGCGTTTTGTTTGCGGCGAACGGAAGACCAGAGGCAATCTGGGAACCAGGAGGAGGCAAGAAAGAGCCGTTTCCGCGTGTGTCCAACTTGCCGGCGACGCGCCAAGATGGCGCGATCGGACGCTCACGATGGCGATCCGCGGCCGCTTCTCGACGCTTCGGAGCTCTCCATCCGGAACCCCGAGTGCATGCGCGGTAAAACGAGCGCTAGCAGGCGTTTTTACGGCTCACAATCAGTTAAGTATCTCATTGTAAGGCCGACGGCAGAGAACGTTCCGTAAACGCTTAAGACTGTCTCAGTCGTAGACTTACGTTTCTCTCTGCCTTGCCCTACGTCTACGACTGAAGAAGAGAGTATCCTCGGGGCTGCGTTACACTTGTCGCCCGACAAATCGTTTAAGCGCGTTGATTGGAAATGCGCCATAAAATAGAAAATTTCTACAACTTTTTATCCCGCAGCCAATCAATACGCACGAAAAATTGATAATACGGTAAACTTTTTAAGCACGTTGATTGGCGACAAAATAGAACTTTTCTGGAGACTCGAGAATTTTTCTATCCCGCGGCCAATCAATACGCTTGAAAAATTTGTCGCGCGAAAAAAGTTTTTTTCCAGCGCGTTAATTGGATAAAAAAAAGTTCTCAAATCTCTAGAAAACATTTCTATCTCCTGCAAATGTTTTTCTGCTCAATCAACACGCTTGGAAAAATTTGTCGCTCGCACAGCAGACTGAATAGAAAATTCCTCTTCTACGAACAACACGTGTGAAGTTTCAACTCATTTTATCAAACAAGTAATTTTTTATAGATTTTTTGACTAACGTAATATATAACATTAGCTGTACTTTTTGATATTTAATATTTAAGTGATAGAAAAAAAGAGTTTGTATGGCTCGTAAATAATTTATGAGTAACTCTGGGCAACGTGCAACGTCACGAGGCTATCGAGATGGTCACGTGGTCGATGATGCATACACGCATGCGTGTGTCGTTCCGTTCGAAAGAATTTTTCCCTCGATTTCCCAGCATTGGTCTAATCCACGTGGCCATTCATATTTTTTGCCCACGAATTCGAGCTCGACACTGCAAATTATAGGATACATTATAGAAATGTCCAGGCATTCCTGCCTGCCCGTGTACAGTGATGGACAGAATGGTAGCAACTTTTCTTAATGCGTTTAGATTCAGGTTTATGTTCTTAAACCTTTTCTACGAGGGAAATTTTGCTCGAGAAATATACATCGGAAAGGCTCAAAATGGTTTCGAAATGGCCATCGAGTACAATTTTCTTCGGAGAAGAAGATTTTGGAACGTAACCCCTGAATCTAAATGTATGCTCTTAAACTCATTAAAAAAAAGTGTCGCAACCATTTTGTTCATCACTGTACATACATTTTACAAATCAACAATTGGAAAAAGAAGGAGATGCAATTTCAAAACACGAATGTCCATTCTTCCAATGTAGATTAACTCCAGTTTCGGTTCAACTTACCTTTTATCTTTCTAGGAATTAAAAACAGATTTCCGTATTGATAGAAATGGATATGAGAAGAACAAAAGACTTCGACCAAGTTCTGATTAATTCCTAATTAAATTATCAGAGTTTAATCAAGGTCAGACCTGTATAGAGGAAACTAAAGTGAAAACTAAAAAATGTACGAGTACAATTGAAACAAGGAACCCGCCAACGGTCGATTCTCGCACAACGAGCTCTCCAATTGTTTTACTTGCATCTTGTTCTCTTCCTTCTCACCTAAATTTGAACACCTGGAATAATAGAGACCAAAGAAATAGAAAAAAAACTTGCCAGGACCGATATAAATTTACTCTCATCAACGACTCATTTGCATACGAAATTTTTTCCGAAATCCATTAACTAAATTGCGGAGAAAGATATTATTTATATTATTTTCAGCAAAAACAACCGAGCTTGAGCAAATTCCTTTGCCTTTTTAATCCCGCGCACAAAATATTTCTCCATAATAACAGAGATAAACAAATTCAGCGAATGTTTTCATTCGAGTTCACATCGTAAAAATAAAAAAAAATATATAAAAAGTATCGCGACGGTCGGGAATGGGAATATTAAAAAGATATACATACCTCTCGTACGTTTGGTCGACTTTTATTTCATATATTTCTTCAATATACATCTGATACACGAAATTGTCATTTGTACACTGCAGGTAAGACAGATTGCACGTCATATACATCAGGATGTAACATACGCGATATATCCCCTCGATCTTCCGATCTAAACTCTCCTCGGATGTCCGTTTCGCTAAAAAAATTAATTTCGCGCTCTCTCTCGCGCGCGTCCCCGGTTACTTCCGCTAATTCTATCGCAAAATAGAGGCTTAGAAAAATCAAGAGTGATCGAACGGTCCTTCGCGGTAACATGGATAGAGCTTTATTGAACAGTGTTAAGCTTATTGACTCTTCAACAGACAGCGATCCTCAACTTTGCTTAGAACTCTGATACGATAACGATCGATAAATTTCCTTGATTTCCTACATTACGTTGCGGATAACCGTTTTCCCGCGGTCAATTGGCATTAGTGTTTCTCTTACCCTCTCTCTCTCTCTCTAACATTACATAAATATCAGTTTGTCGATTACAAAACATGCTCGTGATAACGATCACGAAACGTCACAGATTCCTATGGAACATCTAGATCGCCAACAGTGTCGCAATTTGTCACGAGTCGGCCCGAGGCAAACGGCACCCGACCAAGTAGCTATTGGTAGCAAACGCTGTCTACTCTAAAAAAAGATCTCACGGCTCCGTGATGACGGCGACGACGATTTTGGACTCGTTAAAAATGACCGTCGCCCTCCTGTCGTTCGCGTCCCTTTCGTCTCCTTCGGAACTAGCAGTTTATTTGGCGGTATTCGTATAGAAGTGACGTTCTCTCGTCTTCTCGCTAGGAGAGAAGAAAGAAAAGAAGGGAGAAAGAGAGGAGGAAAGCGACCGCTCTTTGGGAAAACTTGAGCGTGTTCGGCCACTACCGTTCGACGGAAGGTCGCGAATTCTTTTCTCATTCTTCCCGCGAGATGTAATTTCTTTCTCTCTCCCTCTCTCTCTCTCTTCCTCTCTCGCTCTCTTTCTTTCGACACGCACTACTTCGCAACTTGGTACGTCGACCGAGCTTGCATTGACATTTTATTCGCTCACGCAGGCACCGCGAGAGAAATGCAGCCGCGCCGAGCTGTAACTCGGTAACAAGCACATTGTATGCAAATCGCAAGATTATTCGCGCTCCTTTGTTACGAACGGCGAACGCTAATGGAGCATAACGTAACGAACGATTACGGAATCGGTGTGCGACAATCGACGTTACAGCTTATGCTCAACGATCGCTTAATAATCGCTCTGAGCGCTTAATGATACTCGTATATGTATACTATATATGTGCGTACGTACGCGGATGTGGCGTACATGAAATTAGAACCATCAAGCTAAAGCTTTACCTACGGGGGTATCCTGCGTGTGAAACTCTCCCTCTCTCTCTCTCTCTCTATTCTCTTAGAACTATTCACATTAATATACAGCGTGTGCGAGTAACCATTGACACGTGTTTGCTTACGTTTAACGAGAACTCCGCGTTTCCCCCTTGATGCTACGCTAAAAAAAAAAGAAAGCAGTTCAGCTCCCTGATCTCGATTTCTCTAAGTGCGCAAACAATTTGGATCTCTCGATATTGCGTTAACACTTTCGCGACCGCTCGTTGAGCGAAATAATGCATCGCGTTTCCCGAAAACGCTGACCACTCGCCGCACCGCGATTCCGATTCACCCGACGAACGTGGATCGATCCGCCTGCGCTGTGGTTTATTCGCAAAGTTGCTCTATGACTCGAGTATAAAATTTACACCGTCCCGCCGACGAATGTTACACCGCGATGTTGTTTCCCTCGCGCGGCAGTCAAATGGGGTGCTTGCCTCACGATGGCAATTTCGCGCCGTGTCTCGTCGCGACCAACGCGGTTCCGGCTCGCGTATCCTCTTAATGTAACGTAGAAAAGGAAAGCAGTTCAGGTTGTCAGGCAGCTGGAGTTGAAGCAGGAGCTTCGCTGCGACTGCTGGCGCACGTAGTCCTGAACGTTGAATTTCGCCCCGTCGGAATCGTCGCTTTTCCTAGCCTTCAACTCTCTGAAATCAATCGGTACCATTTAGCTCTAGCGATTTATCGTACGCACCCAGGTCCTGGATCTCTTCCCTACGAAAATATACGAAGCACTCGCCACAAACTAGACTGACTTTTCAGCTCAATCATTTGTTACCCTTTTTTGAAAGCCTCTCCCGTCTTTCGGAAGAACAGTTAATCCTTTGAAGCGAGGTGGTAACCCACGTTACTTTTTGGCCATTTAATTTCTAGTTAACGCATTTAGGTCGGTTTTTGTGCACTTTTTGGGGGTATCTTAGCAATACAAAAAACATAAAAAAAAGTTGAGTAGTCTCGAATATTTATTGTAAGTTTTATAAATAAACAAACGTGAAAAAGCAGCGACTTTTTCGGAAAAATTAATTATTGACAAAGTTTTTTAAGATTATTTCTTGAAGGCTTTGTACAAAGGGGTTTTCGGGGTCGCTCATTACGAATCTGATGTCAGACTTTCAAAATTCAAAATGGCAGACTCAAAATGGCGGATGCGAAGTACGTGAATATTTTAAGTTTTCAAGTTTTTCAGCATTTTCGTTTGATTATGGTATTTAAGGACTCATCACGTCCGCGTCGTTAGCTCTGGGGTAGTGCTGCAAGAATGAGTGAATTCTAAGAAATGATTAAATTTCAATTTTGCATCCGCCATTTCGCGCGCTATTTTTTATATTCTATAAGAATTTTCAACTGGAATTTAGATTCCATGGGTCCTAATTATATCTAAATAATGTTTCTTAGCGTAGTTGAATTACAGTTGAATGATGTTATTCGTTTAAGTTTTGAATTCCGCCATTTTGAATTATGAAAATCTGATAACGGGTTCGTAATCAGCGACCCCAAAAACCTTTCACGAAAAAAAAAATGGTTCAATAGAAAAATGTATGCTTCAAAGGGTTAAACTAATTGGACTTAATTGGATTTAATGAAGCGTTAAAGCGACTAAAAATCGAGTTCGGTTTCAAGCATTGTTAGTTCATACTATCTTATTTTACGTTGGCCGATCTTGTCGGAATCGTACCGAGCAACGGCGAGAAACGCCAATTCGACATTGAGGCCAGTCTTGGCAGACGTTTCCATGAACGGCACTTTGTACTCCTGCGCTAATCGCTCGCCGTCTTCCCGCTTAACGGCACGCTCCGTTCCGCAGTCGGACTTGTTACCTGTGGTTTAATACAGCGACGAGAAGATAAATCACCAAAAATTATCTAGCTTTTCAATAACGAAGCTAATAGTGAGAACACGGTCGATGCGATCTGAACTGGCCGTGAGCAATTGAGGTCAATTTACGTGAGCCGATAGTCCATACGAGGTACATTCGGGTCGAAATTGGATTTCGTATTAAAAGCTAAAAATTAGACGTAACATCGCGAGAGGTAGAAAATATTTGTATTCCTTTTTTACACGCGTACCAAACGCATTTTCTAACCGAACGCAGCCTCGGCAAAGATTTGTCTCAATTGCTCACCAGAGCGGTCCAAATTGCATTGAGCTGCGAGTTGAATTTCATCTTTCCCGCAAGCCGGGCTTGTTAGTTCTCAATCTCTGATTTAAATCGGATTCGATAGCCGGGTGTACGTCAACTTGGGACAATCTGACTGATGCCGCTGGAATCAAATCTGGGTCATCCAGCTCTCCTGAGCTCTTATCTCGGCTAAACCATTATTGCGGCCCTTATTTCTGGCGTTTAGCCTCCCGGAGATCGAAGTTTCCGTTTTAACGCGAGGATCCCAAGTGGGCAGATCTATCGTATCGGCACGGAAACCATAAATATAAACGCGACTCACCCAGCAGCATGATGACGACATCCTCGTTCGCGTGTTCCCGGATTTCGCTTAGCCAAGCCCTGATGTTGTCGTAACTCGTCTTATTCGTCACGTCGTACAGCAGCAAAAGCGCTGGAACACGCAGTCGTCTGAATTGCTTCTTTTTTTTATCGACTACCTAATCGACTTTACGTCACGCGACGGTCAGAGGCTTTTTACAAAGTACTTTTACTTTTTATAAATGCACGTACGTACATCCCATACGTGTCAGGGATGTGCGCAACTTTTCGGACGTGAACTGAATCGAATCGAACGAGATTCGGTTTGATGCGAATTCAATTCATTTCAATTTCTGTTATTCGAATGTGAACTGTTCGCAAATTTTGAATCTAGATGTTTCTAATACGAATCGTAAATGTTGTCTCGTAAAATCATACTTCTTGTTAATAAACAAAGTAGTCGAGGGGGAAAACCGCTGAGGGTATTGTAGTGTACAGATTTGCGGCATTACTGGGCATTACTTGGCATTTTTTGGACATTAGTTTAGCATTAGGCCTTGCTGGGGTATTATAAAGATAAAATAAGATAAAATAAGATAAAGTAATGCCCACTGGGTATTAGTGGGCATTGGTGTACAAGATTTTGGTCAGCGGTTTCCCCCTCGCATTCAATACCACAACTGCTCACCGAGCTGTTAAGTAGCAATGGGACGTGACTGACCCTTGGATTCAGTCCGCAGAATATTGATAATAATAATAAAATAACTATATCACTTCATTTTAATTACTACGAATGTAATTGGATAATTCAATACTACACTAGAGTTTGATAATTTACCTGATTTTTCGTCCAATTATCATTTGATTTTATATTAAATGTTTTCTACTTAAAAATAAATTTGTATCATAATCAATGTTATTGTTCCGCATCGCAATATTCTTTCATTATCTGCCTGTTAAAATTCAATCGAATAACATTTAGATGGTTAATTACAAATTATATTTCAACGATACGAATCGATAGAAAAGAAATCCTTAATTCGCACATCCCGCGTGTGAAAGTTTTATATTTCATATTTAATTAAACAATAATCGGATTTAAAGCAAAAGTGCAAAAAAAAATTGTAATCTGCAAATACACGATTTTCTTTCATGTTTTTACACGGGGAAACAAGTTTTATTATGTTATACTTAAATCTTTCACTTCTCTCATTTATATTTAATTACTTTATATTTAAATTATAGGATAAAACGCTTCGCGTGAATTGTAAAAATTCAGCTCACTTTGCCGCTATTCTATAACGTGATCTCAATGGTCGCTAATCTTCTAGATGGGTGACGCGTTTAATTATTACCGAATTCACTCGACTGGAATAATTACTTCCGAAGTTGAGCTGCAACGCAGCATTATTGTCGCAACAACTTCGGAACTTACAGACGGACAAACAATGAGGTACCCTCTTCACACAATCTCCCCGTATCTAAATACGCCTTCTCGTATCTATATACGCGAATCGAGTTTGGCACCCGGCCAAAACTGGCGGAGCAACAAAATCGGGAACAGCGGGCTAGGGTTCGGGTTAGGAAGTTACGAATGGTTCGTGCATTGTAAAGTCGAGTTTGCCCTGAGTGATGGCGGTAACGTTCCAAATTGATCATCTCAAGCCCGGAAACGGACCGCATTTTGGATTCGAGTATGAACAACCCGCAAGTCGCGCAATTAAGATTTCCCCGGAGGCGCACCAATGTAATGTCGATGTTCTATGCTACTCGGCTAGTTCATTGTTACATGCACACAGGAAGTGCTCAAATTCCCAATCCCAAAACTAATTTGACACAGATAAGCCCTTGGGAGAGATAAAAAGAAAGAAAAAGAAACAACTCGAGTCCCAGAACAAAGGTTCAAATTTATATCTATCTTCACACGCGCTTCTAGACGCACATCCTAACATTTCGAAAGTAATTAACTGCGGTATTAATTAACGATATACAAAGACAATTAAAGTTGCTAAAAGTTTATTTTAAAAATATATAGGACCAAATCGCCATTTTCTTATCGCGGGAAAATCGATTTTAATTTGATTATTGGATTCGCAAATTAAAAAAACTTCCGAGGAGAATCTGGAACATTTTATGTGCAAGGCAGTTAATAACAATAATCGAGTTACAATAAAATTCGCGTTTCGTAATTGCCGCGAGAGAAAAACTCCTCGATTAAACCAAGCGTTAAATACCTGACGCTCGAAAGCGCGTTATCTCTCGCCGGGTGAGATATTTCTCATTATTTTCCGCTGCGTAAAACGCGAAACCAATGAAACGTATGCACAGCTTGGAGATCGCGGCGGCATTTGCAACGCAGGAATTAAATCGTTGCGAGATGTTGCGAAACGCGTGGGGAAATCATCGCCAACGATCGCGTTCTTATCGATGGCGTGATACTATTGTGATAAACACGCTTCTACAAAAGATGTCGACACGCCAAAATTTCGTCCTAAATTATTAAATTAATTATTGTAATATACATACAGTACAGTTTAAAAGTTTGCAAGCAGTCACATTTTTAGTTCGACGAAACGAAGAATTTCTGGAAAAGACATTGTTAGAAATGTTTTCTACAAAATAATTCAGATATACGATAAACTTTTATTACAGACAAACTCCTTGAACATATTAATTTCTGTTTATTGTTTATTGAATTAATTTCTTGTTCAACCCTTTCGTACCTGCGGGACATATTTCCACCTAGGAAAAAAAATCAACTTTTAAACAAATAATCGTCTCGACTTCTACCTCGGCTTGTTTTAACTAAAAAAAATATGATTGCCTGCGAACTTTTGAACGGTAGTGTATATAGTGGAAAGTCTCATGAAATAGTAGGTTTGCGACATCCAAATTCAATCGCAAATCTTTTTCGCGGCGAGTACACGGTCTAACACTGAATTTTCCACTAAACAGAGAGATTTCACTCCAAAGGCAATAAATTCGTGGCGAAACCAACAGAGATGCCTGTTAATTTAGCACAAACCCCGCTACCTCATATAAGGAGCTTATACTAGGGAACTTTCCTCTATACTTATACATGCATGTGTATGAAAATTAATGAAATGCTTTAAGCGTGATTTATGGCGTGGCGTTTGCACAATACTAGCGATAAAACGCATATTTGAAATTGGAAAAAACTTGACGTTAATTTACGCAATTTCTACTCATTTCAATTTCGATCAATTTAATCCGCACCGGGCGAATATCGTCGCGCTCCTTATTGAATCAAGGCAGATTTGTAACGTGAGAGAAAAAGGTTTACCGTGCGCGTCTCGGTAGTAAGCGTGCGTCACGCTTCGGAACCTCTCCTGGCCGGCTGTGTCCCATATCTGCAGCTTGATCGGCGTGTCGTCGACGGTGACAACTTTGTTCTGCAAAGGGAGAGAAACTTCTTTGAATTTTCGCAGCCCCGCGCGCGAGCCGAGCCTTAAAATCACGAAGGTACCGTTGTCCAATGTGAGCAACATACAACCTCGTTAGCACGAGAATCGTTAATGGAAAGTCAATCGGCACGAGAGCGTACTCCGTTAGTCGTAAATACATGGTGAAGTAACCCTGAAAAGCCTCACCCTAAAGTCAATGCCGACTGTCGTTATGTAGTTTCCCGACAGGAAGCGGCCGTCGCGGAAACGCGTTAGAAGACAGGTTTTCCCAACGCCGCTGTCGCCGAGTAACATCACCTGCATCGAGCAACGATTGTTCAAATAACCGTTTCATTCTGATTCCAGCTCGCTCATCCGTCCGCGCGAATTCTGATTTCAAATCTTAATTCCGTACTATACTTGCAGTTTTTTTTTTAGCTACGGCAGCAACGTGTTTCTTGCCGTGTAATTAATTCGACGGAAGAGATAAAAAGAGAAAGCGAAGTAACGCGACCTACTAATTATCCAAATTAAAAAATGCGCCACAGTTGCCAAAAAGTAAACTACATTAAATTAACCTGGATATGCCGAAAACGTCTTTTGAAAAAAGATATTTCATCTTGGAAAGTTCTCACTTCCGTGGACACAATGCGAGAAAAGCGCACGTCGGAAAAAGAAAGAGCAGAAAATCGTGTTCTTTCAAATAAAGTGACCCGAAAGGACACTGGGCAAATTTGGATAAAAATGACGCAAATACAAGAAAACTAATAAGACCGCATTGCCTCAGGCGTAAAGTAACGTCCGAGGGATTGGTCGCGCTGGGCGAGCGAGAGAAACAAGAGGAACAGCCAACGGCCGGCGTAGCGCGCGAGATGAGCGAGGGAGCGGGTATCAGGGGGCAAGGTAGGACCTTGAAGAGAAGGTCCGCGTGATCAGGTGGGGTGTGCTGGCCGGCGGAGTCGACGCTGTCGCGCGAGGACTGGCGCCTGGTCGGGCCCGTGATATCCTGGGGCCTGGCGAAGGCGGTGGACGTGGCGGCCGGCGCAGCGACGGGGGCCGGCTGGGCCGGGCCCCGCGCGGCCGCCGCGGACCAATCGGCGCCGGTGGAGCCGCCGCTACCGCTGCCGACGCTGCCGCCGCCGCCGCGCGTGCCGTGTCTGCTGCGCCTCGACACGTTGCGTAATGTTTCCTCCACGGTGCTCATGGGCCCCTGCTACCGGGAGCACCAATTTGCTCTTCTTCTTCTCGGCCACTCCTCGTCGTCTCGTTGCGCCTCGGCGTCGTCGTGCTCGTGCTTGCGCCCGTGCCCGCACTCGTCGCCGTCGTCCTCCTACTCCTTCTGCTTCTCCTCAGGACGACGACGACACTAAAGCTCTCCCGAGGTCACTAAACCTCTCCTCTCTCTCCCCGGACTCGCGAGCGCCCACTCGATTCGTTCCGCTCGCTCCTTCGTATGTAGGTACGCGCGTATAATGCGTGCGTGCGTGCGTGCGTGCGTGCGCGCTTCCTCTTCTCGCGTTTCTCCTTCTGCCCGGAGAGTCTCGTCTCCCTTGCCGCGCCGCTCCGCTCCGCTCCGCGTCCCGAGCGTTCTCCACTTCGCGGCGGCCGAGAGAGCCCGCCGTGCCCTGCCGTGCCGTGCCGTGCCGGCGAGGTACGAGTGAAAGTACGGTCCGCCGTTCGAATCGCGCAAATGCGACCCGGGCTCTTTCCACGAGTCCTCACTTGAGCGGGAACGAAGCGCCGTGCCGGCGCGACTCGAGAGAGCGCGGGGAAATCTCCGCGGAGCTGCCCGGCCGGATGATGAGCCACGCGATGCACTCACCTAAATTGGTGCAGAGTTTCAGGACAATTCTCCGTTGTACGTTACGCGCAATATTTCCGCTGTTAAAATCAGAATAGAGAATAGAAGTGTAACGTTGCGCTATCAAGAGTGAAAAAGTTCTCGAAGCATTTCTTTTTGTCTCGCCCGGTGTTGTCCATGCGCCTTGGACGCGCGATCGAACACCGTTAAACTGACACTCGGCCCGCGCTACACCTGTCGTGATGGAGCACGCGTTTGTAACGCAACGTGCAGCGCGGAGTCGGGGAAGCAAGTCGGAGTAAGATTGGAAAATTTTTTGCGCGCAAAATTGCGCTGTCACCGCGAACAGCTCCGCGCTTTAATGGGGCCCGGCCTCCGTGGCCTCTGCGCGCGATTTAGCGAATATTAAACGGAAATCCAGCCGATGAGTGCAAAAGGAAAAGTATTCCCTTTGATCCGTGACGCGTTAACCGTGTGAAGCCGAGCTGGTTATTGAAATATCCCGACGTTTGACGAACGGCAGTGTAATTCGCAGCGTCAGGCACCGTCGGTGGACAGCAATTTGCACACAGCGAGCGGCGGATTAAACTGTCTCGAGTGCGTCACGACCAGTTACGTAAAACGTAAGCGCGAGCGGCTTTAATGAATTCGCGAACACACAGGCACGTCAGTCACATTCGCCTGCGAGCGAGCTTCCCAGCGAGATCGGGATCGATCGTGACGCGACTGATCCACACGGAGGAGCGCGTCTGATAAATTTCGTTCGCGCTGTCCTCCTGAAACTGACGGGCTTTCCTCTCTCGCTTCGGATAAAAAAATTCAGAGATTATCGCGTCGTCAACGACCTCGACTTCGGCGTGGATTCGCGGAGGATTAGGTCTTCGTTCGGGGACTCGGTTCCCCTCGCGGAGCCTGACGTCTCTCATCGTGTCAAGCTTATTCTACAATGGACGCAAGACGCTAGGCGGCAATACAAGAAATCGACCAATCGCAGTCACATATGGGAAGAATGCTCGACTGTCATTGGACGATTTCTTGCGTTGCGGCTTAGCGTCTTGCGTTTTGCGCCCATTGTAGAATAAGCTTTGGGCTGGTTCTACAATAGACGCAGCAGGTCGCAAGCCGCACGCACTGAAAAAAATCTGATAGATTCAACCAGTCGTCTGTTAGAAAATGGACGAATCAGAATTCCTTTAGGATTTGCCATGAAAGATATTTCATAACCAGAAGTTTGCTAGACTTCACTACACATCTGGTAAATCCTAAAGGAATTCTAATTCGTCCATTTTCTAACAGACGACTGGTTCTATCAGATTTTTTTTCAGTGCAGGAAATCGGCCAATGACAGTCGATCAGTCCTCTCATATTCGACTGTGATTGGTCGATTTCTTACGTGGCGACTTAGCGTCTTGCGTTTTGCGTCCATTGTAGAATAAGCTTAACAGCGAAGCTAGTTCGAGGCAATTACAAGTCCGTCGCGGTGCACACATGCAGCGTCGGCCGCGATAACGAGCCGCCTCGCGCGTAAATCGAAAGCGGAAACGGCCTTTGTTCCTCGGAGAAAACGTCGGGGCGCTAATGGATACTCGCTGCGTTCGGCGGCCTATACAGCTGGACTCTTTTTTTTTACGTTCTCGTAAATTACTATCATCCGATAATAATGGACACGCGCGTCGCGTCGCGCAGTGCAGAAGGCAACGCTCGTATAACACTCCGAAACACACTTCGCGTTTTCTATCGCGCTCGTAAACCTCCTCCCTCCCGAAGTGGGTGAAGCTCATCGACCACCGGCGGATCATCTCCGGGTTCGAACCGTCCCTCGCGAATCGATGTATCGACGACCGCTTTATGCTGTGGCGCACCGAAATTCCTCCCTGCCAAAAACAGATCTCCGAGGCCTAAAATAATCCCGATATTCGAGTTTTCAGCTATCGATTTTCTAGCTTTTATTATCGCGCGATACAATACCGGGCTACATGTATCTGTTTTTGTTCCTTTTTTTTTATTTATCCGCATCCATTCGCGGCAGCAAAATCGCACGAAAGCGCACCTTTCGCCGCCGCTCGTGCGTCGTTCCGGCAACGGCAGGAAGTAAAAAAAAACAGCTTTCGTCGCAAGCGGCGGTGTAACATCCGGTGGGAATAAAGCACGGGCCCTTTGCCCTCGGACGCGAGCGCAAGATGCTGAAAACGTGCGAGAGTGCATGCAATTCGCGGGAGACGCGGTCCCATCCTGCGGTTCAGCCGCGCCCGATAATTCCAACGCATTACGTCCCCTTTTTTTCCGCCTGTTTGCACGTCGAACTGGACCCTCGGCGGGCGCTAAAACTCACACCCCGATCATTTCCGGCCTCATTGGGCACGAAATAGCGCGGGCGATGGCAATCGACGTTCGTTGGACCTGACTGCGACACGTGCGCGAGCTCGCGGTCGTGCAAAAGAGACCGCCGACGATTCGGCGATTGCATTCGGTGGCCAGAATGCTTGACCGTCCATTTGCAGCGCGCGTTTCGAGGGGAGCGCTGCCGAGCGCCGGCTTGAATATTTAACGCGCGGACGCGCCACGCGTGCTCGAATAACGCAATATATGTATATATCGCGGGGATAAGCTCAACACTCGCGAGAAAAATTTTCCCGATGACAATTAATGATTCACCATCCGCGGTTACCCGCGAACGCGGAGAACAAATCATTGTACGCGGAACGCGATGCTATTCTTAGGACAGCGCGGGCAAGTTTATTATTTCTTCCGAGAAATTCAAGGGCATTTTCCGGGAGGATTTCCCGGGGCCGCCGGAGATCCGCGAGTTGGGCGCGGCGCGATCCGACTCCAGTAAATTAAGCTGGGTATCATGGAGTCTGTATAAGGAGACCGAATTGATTACGTCACTGAACGTGGGCCGACATTATTGCAAAATTTTGAATCAAAATTTTTAGCGCTGGCGTCGCAGAAACGGATTAAGGATTCGCCCACGAGTTTTACCAATCTTGATCCCACTGGCTCGTAGATACAGCGTGTAACCGTTGTTATCTGCCGGTCAGTCACTTATACTCGTACAGTTATAGAAATTGCCTCCAAGGCCTTTTATTCATTCAAGCTACGCTCTGAAATGTTCTCTCCGACGAAAATTTCTATTCTGGCGACAGAATTAATTGGAAACGCTTGAAAAGATTTCATAAAGGTTATCAAGTAAAAGTCTTCTCGGAGA